GCATCCCTGCAGGCATGTCTTGAGGTGTATTGTTGACAGATCCCACAGGCTTCTGTCATCATGAACAGGACTTAATCGCTAACATCAAACTCCTGTCGTTCAGTTCTATGCCACAGTTCACCAGTTTGCTTTGTTGTTTGTTTTGTTTTGTTTTGTTTGCTTCCTTCCTGCCTCTCTGCCTCTCCCTCATTTTTCCCCCAAGAGCATTAAGACTCTCTGTAATAGCTTCTGACAGAGCAGCCTTTGAGATCTTGTAATAATTTGTACAACCCACTGGAATGTCAGACCAGCAGCGTCTTTAGACATCTCTAGCACCAATACACACATCACGACCTTCAATGATCATACAAGCCATCCATGCACACCTCAAGCTACGTGACTTGTTCTGTAGTGATGCTCTGAGATGAGAATAAAATAAATAGAATGAAAGAAATTAGGTGGTTAAAATCTAGGGCAAAGTGCAAAGAAAGGGAACTCACATTGGGACACATGGCAGAAACGAGATCTCTAAACCTCTCTTCTAGGTCAGTGTCTTCCCTAGAAAAGCAAGAAGCCAGGTGTTTGCACATTTCCAACTCCCCTGTTAATTAAGTGACAAAACTAGCAAGTTTATCCCCATATGACTCTGTCAGCCTCTACTTGGCGTGTTGCTTCAAAAAAATTCTATAGAGCTTTAAACAATAAATAACTCACCATGTCTGATAACTTTTAAAGACATGCGTTCAGTTTGGATACAAGAACATTAGCTTAAAACATGGCCTTCCCTTGGCCTCATGAATAGAACCGTCTTGATCATCACAATCTTTATTCTGCATCTTCCTCTACTTACTCTCTTCTCTCTTTTGGAGATTATCTAATTTCTAACAAGCCATTAGTTCAATGTGTCTTTTTAGTCAATTAGAACTAATATTGTTTAAATTAAAATTTAGTCATTGCTATTATTATGGACATATGTGTGTTACATTTCTCATGGCCACCCACCTCTTCAACTTAGTGTGATATCAACATTTCTCATGTATTTTTGTTCTAAATATCCTCATAGCAACTAGAACTTTACTTTATTGATGTTTTTTAACTTGCGTTTCCCAGTGGGAACTCCAATCTGGTATTGTAGTCAGTCACAAAGAAAGCACTAATTAGCAGATGAATGCAATTAGTAGTTACCTCCAATGTTTTCAGGTAACTTCTGTTGCTGACACGTACTTACTGTAGATACCAGTATTTTTTTCATTGCATGTGATATAAACTCAACAAAATACAAAAACATTTTAAAGGTTATAGACTTAAACAATCTAGCATTAATTAATATTAGGAGAATATGAACATCAGGCCTTTTCTGTAGCTAACCATGTTAGTTAGAGACTATCTCTGCTCAACCCACATAGTTATTGGCCCCTCTTTGTCCCTGTGGAGGTGGAAGGTCTTTTCTTCCATACAGTTTTATAAACCCATAGCTGTTTATACCATTATATTCTCTCTGACATCCAGTTCCTTCTCATCAGACACCAAAGTGCCCATGAATCCTTGGATCTTTAACAATGTTCTGTTGCACGACTGTTGCTTTTCATGCACTAGGAACTGAGCCTTCTTTAGTGGACTGTAAGCAATTGAAAAGAACAACTGTCGTTTACTCTTGTCTATTCATCCCTGTGTCTCAAACAGTGCCTTATCGTCTATAGGCTTGTAAGACTGGTTGAGTGAGGATCCTAGTGCTTTAAGCCTCTAACAGTGATAATGATATGAATTGGTGGATGGGAAATAGAATGATGGATGGATAGATGGATAGATGGATGGGTAGGTAGGAAGATGGGTCATATACCAAAGAGTCACAGGAAACCCAACATGGATCTGATTGAGAAACCTCATTTTCTGGGTGAGGAAACCAGGATTCCAAAAGGAAAAAATGGATCATTTCAAGAGGAACATGATCAGTATTCTCACTTTTATTTTGTTTTCCTGATTCAACTAGATATAACGGTTCTCGGATGTTGTGTTTTCATTTTCACTTAGTTTTGCCTCCACTTTCTCTAGGTACCCCATTTTATTTTAATTTCCTCAAGACCCACAGCAAGTGATTGGTAGTTGTAAAAATTGCAGTGTTAGTACATCTTGTCATCCCCTTTATGCCACTAATCTGGGGTGACAAAGGGGATTGTCCTTGTGCATTGTCTTTTTCTCCCTGCTGCCTTTGTGGTCACAATGAGGAATGTTATCAGACAGTCCCCTCACTCTGGGACTGTGACTCCCATCACAGATTCCACATATGGCTCAGAGGGCAGAGCTAGGAAAATATAGGCCCAGGAAGAGGTTACAACACTGCCTTCTGTGTGCATATTAAGAGTTAAATCTGGTGTTAGAGACATGGCTCTACAGTTAAGAGCACTTGTTGCTCCTACAGAGGACCATAGTCCTTGTTCCCATAGCACACATAACAGTAAGCTCTCACCCTTCCTGACTCAAGGCTTGTGCCTTTGTCATTTTAGTGAGCTACTCCTTTGCCTGTTGTCATTGTCGTGGTTATTCACTGACTCCCTTATTTGTCCCCACAAGCTTGTCACACGTCCATTCTCATTTCTGGTTCCATGCCTGCAAAGGTCCAAAATCATAGACACATATACACTTTTCTTCCCCCTTCTATTTGTGAGGGTCTTGCTATCCATTGGATAGGGCTAAGAGGTGCTTTGACATAAGAAGTAAATTTCTTAATTAAAAAAAAATTAGAAATTGAAACAAATGTGCCATGTCACTATTAACCAGTACAAGTTAGTAGTGTTTCTTTCATGATTTGCATTTGTACATAGGATAGAGCCAGAGAATACAGCAAAGAAAGCTCTTTCAAATGATAATAACTCAAGCCACTGCAGAGTCTAAAGCATGGGTCTGTACAGGTTGGGGATTTCTAGCCATGCCCACACTCAATAAGGATGCAAGGATGCTAAATCTACTGGGTGAGTTACACATCACCAGGATAAATTAGATGTGCTTGGGGGAGGCAGTCATTCTTTTAAGTTGTCAGGACAAAATAACGCTTTGGAACAATTATTTACCAAATGCTAGAGGCCACGAGGAAGTAGCAGCATTCCTAAAGCACCTGCATTTCATTGACGCTGTACTAGGTGGAAAGTCACCAATCAAGGGTCTTTTGGTCGACTTTATGTACCATACTCACACTGTGAACACAGACTGGAATGCCAGTGGCTTCCACCCTCCATCACTTTGCAGATAAAACATAAAGCAATGCCTGCTCCTCACAAGGACCAGATCTCTGGGCATATTTGCAGCAGCTCAATCGGCATAGAGGTAAAATATAGATTTCCACACAGAGAGGAAATGAGAACCTCACTTAGGAAATAAGTAAAACACCCAAGCTTTTAAAGCAGAGGTGTAAAGGGAGAGAAGAGGAATTTGATACATATGGATCATATCTGGTTTGGAGTCCAGAGTGGACTGACTCATCAGGGATCAAGTCACAAGAACATAGATGTGAAGGCAGGCTACCAAGCCTGTGGCTCTAAACGAACAACAACACAAGACTGATCTTAAGGAATTTTCCATTGCTTGGGAGCCACCGCAATAAGGTAGTCTACTGTGTGATTGGAATACAGTTTATCAGTGTTTCCCAGTGTTTCCAGATACAGATGCCTGGAGTTGTTTATAACATATAGGTTCAGATTCAACAGGTTAGCAGTGGTTGCAAGTCTCTGCATGTCTAACCACACCAGTGGACACTGATGCTGTTGGCCTGAGGCCACATGTTGAGCAGCCACAGAGGAAATTATGGAAAGTTGAAGTTGGTGAGAGATGGAGAGTGAATAGGAAAGATCCTGAGAGCTTGAAAAATGAAACTGGACTCTCACAAATTCAAACCAAGAAGATCTGGGTTTTGCAACGAGGCAGAACAAGTTGCTGAGCAGTGCTGTGGGATGTTCTGTATGTCCTGTGGGAGCCCTTCTTGGGTTCTTTGTGGCGTTACCCAGCAGGTCCGCATAGAGGATGATTAGGACCATGGGCCTGAGTGCAGGTGTCTGAGATGGTCTGCACTTGGCTGTGCTGGGGGATGGTCTGTATGTCAAGTTGTTCTGATTGATCAATAAATAAAACCTGATCGGCTGTGGCTAGGCAGGAAGGATAGGCGGGACTAACAGAGAGGAGAAATAAAAGGACAGGAAGGCAGAAGGACTGACTGCCAGATGCCGCCAGATGCAGCATGTGAAGATGCCGGTGGGCCACCAGCCATGTGGCAAGGTATAGATTTATGGAAATGGACTAATTTAAGCTATAAGCACAGTTAGCAAGAAGCCTGCCACGGCCATACAGTTTGTAAGCAATATAAGTCTCTGTGTTTACTTGGTTGGGTCTGAGCGGCTGTGGGACTGGCGGGTGACAGAGATTTGTCCTGACTGTGGGCAAGGCAGGAAAACTCTAGCAACAGAGCAGAAACTGGATTTCATTCAGTCAATAAATAATTTACAATGGCAGGAGACACCTAACAAAATGCTTGTGATTTGAAAGCTTCCAGATCAGCTTTAGCATAAGGAAAAGCAAAACAACTACAGCATTATCATCTGAATATTTAATGTCCCCCAAAGGTTCACAAGTTAAAAATTTGGTCATCAGCCTCTGGCACTACTGGGCAGTGGCAGAGCCTTTAGAGGTGGGGCCTGCTCTAAGGAATGGAGGCTGTTCTGGGAGAGCCCTTGAATTGGGCATCACCACCCTGGTCCTTTCTGACTTTTACCACTTCCTCATCACAAGGTGAGCAGCCTCCTCTACCACATGTTCTTGATGGTATGTAGTGCTTCACCACAGACATCATCTTACTCAGAGCACAGATTTTTAGGTGCTCTCTGTGGCATCATCTCATTCAGAACAGACTTTAAGGTGTTCTCTATGACATCATCCCATTCAGAACACAGACTTGAAGATGGGTGATTTCCATGACCTCATCTCATTCAGAACACAGACTTGAAGATGGGTGCTTTCCATGACCTCATCTCATTCAGAACACAGATTTTCAGATGCTCTCTGTGACATCATCTCATTCAGAGCAGACTTTAAGGTGTTCTCCATGACGTCATCTCATTCAGAACACAGACTTTCAGATGTTCTCCACGGCACAATCTTGAAGTTGTTTTGTAAAATATGAGAGAGTGGAATGATAACTCCAGATGGTTATGCCTCATTTCAGAGCATGCAGCAAGCCAATGGTGCTCATTTGGGGCCTGTATTTTACTTGCCTGTTATGGAAGATAATTCAGGCCAAAGACCTTGTTTCCATTGTTTCCAATACCAAATGACCTGTTTCAGGATGAGAGGAAACAGCGGTCATGTAGACAGTCTTTAACTGTGCAGCAGGTGCTGGCACCTGTAGCCACTTAAATCCAGCCAAGATAATCACTCCTCTCTCACTGCAGCTGGCTCACATCAAGTATTATCCTCCATCACTGGATCTATTTGGAGATATTAAACCACGGCTTTCCCCCAGGTAATGCAGCAAGAGAGGGGATATTTGGATTCCAAGAGGCGACTCTGATCAACAATGTGAGAGGATAAAGCCACACCCCCTGGCTCTCTGGCAGCCAAGCATAGTATAGAGCACCTGGGCAGGAGGGTCCTGAGCTGGACAACGCCAGCCTGCCTAGGGCATCACATAACAAGGGCTGCACTAGAGTTGTCTGGAAGAGGGTTATGGGAATGAAAGATCCAGTAAAGAATCTTAGGTAGGAAGTCAGTGGCATCGCTAATAATATCTACTAAATTTAGCTATGCTCAGTTTGGCTCTGTGGTTGGTTCATTCATTATTATTTAATGTTTAAAGTGTATGTGCATGCATGCTCACTTATGCATGCAAGGCTATGTCTTCAAGGTACATGCATGGAAATAAACCCCCACCATTCCAATTCACAGAAGTTCTAAGTTCCTCCAGGTTGTAATCACTACAAACAGGTCTTGATTGCACTAGAGATTAATGGATGTTTGTTACAAGTTTGACTTATCAAACCTGGTACTAAGAGTGTAAAGGTGTTAGCTTCACTTAATGACACCACTGTCACCTTGTGCGTCAGAAATGCAGCCCTGATTTTTATTGTAGAATACTTCATTTTGGCCTCCACTATGCAGAAATCTTTATATGGGAGACCAATGCAAGCTTTAAATGGGATACCAAATAGTATGCAAACTTAAGCTTCAAATGGTGTAATTAATTCTTAGAGGTCAGAGAGCTCTACTAGCTTTCAGAAAAGAGGGTATCTAAGCAACTTGGGATAGATGGTCAATTTTTCTAAATTATATTGATTGAGAGTAATTTGTTGGGAAGAAGTATTTTAATGGGGGGGGACAAGGTAATGGGGAGTAAAAATGACACAAATTCAATATATGTGTGTGTGTAATTGGCACTCATAAACTCATAGGGAGTGGCACTATTAAGAGGTGTGGCTTTGTTGAAATAGGTATGGCCTCGTTAGAGGAAGTGCGTCACTGTGCAGGTGGACTTTAGGTCTCATATATGCTCAAGCCATGCCCAGTGTCTCAGATCACTTCCTGCCTGCTGATCAAGATGTAGGGTTCTCAGAACCAGTACCATGTCTGCCTGCACACTGCCATGCTTCCCACTATGATGATAATGGACTAAATCTCTGGAACTGTAAGCCACTCCATTAACTGTTTCCCTTTATAAGGAAAGTTGCTGTGGTCATGTGTCTCTCTTCACAGCAATAGAAACCCTAACTAAGACAATATGATTGTCAAAAAGTTAAAAAAAAAAAAACTTACCAAATGAAAGAAACTCTGTATTTGTATTTTTACTTGGTGATCTTTTTCTAATGTTTTTAAACTTCTTTTTAGATGTAAGTATTATTTACCATTGTATTTAACTCATCCATACTGTAGCATATGTCCCCTACATCCAATTTAAATATTCAACTTTGAATCTCCAATTTTGAGATTATGGCATTGTCTAAAAGTATCAAATTTTAAAATATATTAAATGTATCATGTCCTCTATGTTATATATAATTTGATTGCCAGTAAATAGTTAAGGGCAGTTCATGCACGAACAGCTAAATTTTCCATGTCCTTTTTTGAGTATTTTCTGTTTGCTCTACTAAAGCATTCATTTTGAAAAATGTCAAAACATTATTTAAAGTCCTCTTTCCTACAACAGCCTTTGCAGGGTTTTGTTTTGTAAATCTCCTGTCCCTCCACACTGCCAGCAGTGTGTCCTGGGAAAGAAGGTGTACTTGGAGACGGCCTCTGGGGACTGGACGGTGAGAAGGGAAGAAACTGCAGCCTGCTAGATGGAGGTGTGCAAATTTCCCTCACTCCACAGGAAGGGGGCTTCAGAATGCCTCTAAAGCATTCAAGGTCTCCTTAAATAACAGGCTATGAATGAAAAATCCAGGACTGCAGCAGTCCAGCTTCATCGTGAGTGTTTGAGGATATCCAGGAAGCCCAATTTGGTCATTGTTTTCCCCAAAGACATAAAAATAGGAAACTAGGAGACAAGGCAAAATAACACATCTACTGTGAAAAGCCTATGAGAATCAATGGCCACAGAGCACCCACAGATCAATATTTCCAAGGTCCAAGCCCAGCTGACCAGAGCTGACAGTTTCTGGGCTGTTATAATTTGCTAGCGAACTATGGTTTCTTCCTCTGTCCTACCCACACTGGGACACATTTAGTGGAAGTGGCTTTTATATATCTATCCAGATACCTAAGATCCCAAAGCGACAAATCAATCATAAACATCATTTAGAGCAGGTCCTCATTTTATAGCTGGGCAAGTAAGAGGCACAGAGATACAGAAAATGTCAGAATACATCTTGAACTCAGCATCTCTAAGTCCCAAGGGAGGCTAGATTGAGCATCTCAAGCAAAATCAAGTAGTGAACAATAAGAAGCTGATTTCCAGGAGATTTGAAAGTGAGAAAAGACAAAAATCATTGTTAAGGTTTATTTTTAATTGTGTGTATATGTGTTTGAGTGTATATGTGTGTATGTTTATGTGAGTATGTGTATTTGTGTGAGTGTGTATATGTGTGAACATATGTTTGTGTGTTCCTGAGTGAAGGTGCATACGGATGTCAGACAAGGGCATTAGGTATCCTGCAGCCAGAGTAAGAAGCAGTTTACAGTCCCCTATTGTAGGTACTGGTAACCAACTGGAGTGCACTACAAAAGCAGTATATGCTCTTCAGCAGTGAGCTATTTCTTTGTCTCCAGCAAAATCTTATCTTAAATCCCCTCTTAAATATTGCAGATGCATATTGTAACTGGAGGAAAAGAGGCTTCAGAATCAAAGTGCTGGATTCAAGGCTGAGAGCTGCCACCCAGTAAGGCAATCAAGCAAGCTTTCCTCATCTTGCAAAAGAAGGTTTAGATGAGACGGTATAGACAGGCATTTTAGCTGTGTGGAAGCTGTTCTATACCTTGCTTTCTCGTTCTTGCTTCTCTATGACTGTGGCATGGCAGCATATCCTCTGTAGTGCTTTCTAGATTTGTCAGTGGCTTCCCCTTGTCTTCTGGTTCTCTTCAGCACTGGGCCTCTCCCAAGGTCAGTGTGTGGTCTTTGATTTTCTCAGTTTATGTCAAGGTTTAAGCTGTGCCATCAACTCTCAGGATGGAAACACAGCTCTTACACATCTGGTTCTGTGCTTCCATAGTGATTGGTGACTGCATGTTCTCTTAGTTTTCCACTCTGGTTTCTTTATCCTCAGGCCTAAACAATCCCCATTCCAATTTCCTACTCTTTCCCAGTCTGGCTTTCTTCTCATCCACATCTCTATGGCTAGGAAGGTCTTGTTTTAATATGTAACTCAACCATTTCCTGTTTTATAGACCCTAGGTTACAGTGCAGACTGGTTTTCCTAATGTCCTGCCATTGACAGTGACAGAGATAATACTTTTTCCAGTTTGGTTTTCTATATTTCCTGTATGCTTTATGTCCACGCCACTCTCAGGGGTTATCTTGTTAAATTTACTGGTGTTTCCTGGAAGTCCTGTCCATAATAAGTGATACTCAATGACCTTTCCAAAGACTGAGATCTCTGACAGGGCATCACTGGTGACATCTGCCCTGTTTACATGTTCAGATCTTTGCGTAGCATGTGCCATGTAGTAAGAATGCAAATGTTTGTGGAAGGAGGGAATTTCATAATGGATCAGTGAGATGAGAGACATGTGATGGTGTCATATTGAAGTCTGTGTCCAACACCAAGAATGCAAAAATGCAAATTATCTTTAAAATGTTTGATATTATTTTCATCCAACCTATAAAAATAGTTCTCTGACTTGCCTATCTATGCATTTTCCCATCCTAAAATAAAAGGTTGAAGGCTCTTTAGAAGGACATCAATAGAGCTAAACTGAGTTCTTCCTGTAGACCAGCATTTACAGCTCTCCACATCAGCTATCCCTGATTGTAGATTTGCCTTGGCTCTTAATTATTCAGACACCAAGGGATCCATTTTCCCATTCTCCATTATGGCATGTCCATCCAAGGCTGCTCTCACCCTTCTTGTGCTGATTTTGCAGGTCTTCCTTTTCTGTTTTTTAATTTTTTTATGTTTCCCTTTTCTTAAAAAGTTCTAAACATTTAAAAATAGGTGCAATGCTGTAGATTTTCATAGAATTTTCTCTGATTTTAAGGAAATTTTACTTTTCTGAGTCATTACTTAACATAGTCTTTTGTCAGCCCTTAATATAGTTCAGTGGACATGAGAGCTGAATATTTGAAGTAAGAAAGCTTACGCCATCTGGTTTGGGTACATAAGGTATCTTAGTAATGAGTTATACTTAACAGTGACTGAGACCAAAACCAGCTGAGTATGATAGACCTGGTGATTCTTCTCAGACTCAGGTCTCATACTTCAGGGAACCATCTAATAGTGACTGATTTCAATTAAACAATTTGTACATGCGTGATAACCCCAAAATATATAAATCCCCACCCTACCAATGTCTTTGTGAATGTTAACACAGAGTTAGAAAATTACCCACACACATGCTCATACTCTGAAGCAGTTGTTCTGGAAAGTAAGTAGATGGATTCATGCCTAATTAGTTTCTGTAAGTGTTGAGTATCGATAGAGTCATTGACTGTACTTAGATTTATAAGTTTTCACTATCCTGCCCTGAGTCTTGTCTCATATGAGCTGCAAAATCCCTGAGGGGTGAGGCTCTGTTCCCTTCACTGAAGAAAGATGCTTCCTAGGTGGATGTTGTTTAAATGCTGCCATGGCAATTTTTCTCATCTTTATTCAGTTTATAGCTTTGAAAACTTTTCTTAAATTTGACAATTTTTTTAATTACTAAGGGTTATGAAGTAATACACCCTCCTCAACCTGTGCCATATGCCTATGATGAAGTTTATGAGTCTTTTATCTTTCTTATTTCTCTTCTTCTTCTAGACAGTTTCCCTTGCCTTGATGGAAGGAAACCAAATCAACATAATGTCTTGACAATGCCTAGTCAAAGACACAGAGAAAGGAAAGTCACAAAACAACAAACAGAATTCACCAAGTGTTTGATGAGCAATCGTATGCCTGGCGTATTCACTCACTGCTCCACGCCTGTTGAGCAGGTGCCCCATTCAGTCTCCATTCCACAATTAAGGAGACAGATCAATGTAAGTGAAACATTTTCAACCTTATTTGAGCCTATTTATCTAATATACCAATTGAAGAGAAGTAGCCTGCAAGGCCTTTAATCACTGCCAAGCCCCAGTCCTCCGAAGGGGACTTCAGCCTCTTGGCCAGTGTGACAGTGTTAATAACCTTCAAGTCAACCAGAAGGAAAGGAGAAGGAGTAAGCGCCATCTCCCCTGTGCTCCCTGGCCTTTGCACTGAAATGTCAGTGGACTGTTAACGTAGCCTCATTTAGTGATTAGAAAGCCTGATTACCTGTAATTCTGCAAATCCAGAAGTGGGAAGTTTTCCTCTCATAAGGAAAGAGCCCCCTCCCCACCTCATTCTGAGGTTTATGAATTCTGCTTTTCTGTCATTGGAGGTTCCAGCCCTTGGAGCCAACAAGGCATGTCCCTTTTAAGATATTCGCCATCACACACTGGGGCTGGTTCTGCCTTATGTTTATTATATCCGCATGCCCTGAGGACCAGTAAGAACACTTGGGGTTTAATAACAAACAATGAAAAGCAGTGTCGAGGCCCCTGAGGTTCCCTACAGCAAGACAATATTGCTCTCGTGGATCATGCAATGCTACTCTCTTTATGCCATGCTCCTGTTAAGGGGGTGACAGTGGCCTTCTAATAAGTGTCACTTATTAGATTGTGCCCAAACAGGTCCAGTGCACACTTGTGGCCTTTGTAAAACCCCAGCACAAGCTTGTTCCCTGCACTGGGCCATGGCTTTCCACACCTTAAAGTCACACCCTTGGGGTTTTCAGTAGATGCTTGACTAAAACTTGTCCCTCTGCTTCTTCTTCTCTTGTGCGCATACACTTGGAATTTCTGTGACATTCTATAGTTTCACCTACTTGAGTAATAAATGATACACAGAATTTTATGCTTTCCTTGGTGCTTTAGGAATACTTTGGGCTAGCTGAAAACAGCACAAAATTGGAGCTAGCAGTATACTCTGGCAAGACAAGTGCCGTTTCATTTATATTTTAAGGTTGATGTTCGTTTTCATTCAAGTATATGCAGGTGCTTGCATAGGGGTGAGTAGATAACACATGTGAGGGTGCCTATGGAGGCTAGAAGAGGCCATTGGGTCCCCTGAAACTGACGTGACAGGACACTATGCCTGACATGGGTGGAGGGATCTGAACTCGGTCCTCTGGAGGTGCAGGAGAGCTCTTACCTGCTGAGCCTTCTCTGTAGCCTCTCCCCATTACATCATATTTATATGGCCATGTAATTCAGAGCTGTGGGTTTTCACTGGTAAACACATCCCTCTAGCATAATGAGTGTGCATGTGCACAGCTGTCAGGCTAGATCAGTCCCATGAGGATTCGGGACAAGGTTTCTGTTCCTTTGTATCTTCAAAACAAATAACTGTTGAATAAATAATTATTAATTTCCCTAAGCCTTCATGTAAATGTTTGTAATAATATATGCATTTGGGTCTGTCCAGTATCCCTTTGGAGAATTAACCTCACTGAATTTTGTTTAATCCAGGTAGTTTAGATAGGTTTCCCCTCTCATCCCTCATCCATTCACCCTCATCCATTCACCCTCATCCCTCTGTGCACTCAGGACCCACATATTTACTTTCTTCCCCTTTTCTTCTCTTCATGTCTCTCTCCCAGGAGCTGCTGACTGGTATATCTGAGACCTCAGAAAGAACCCTCTAGAGAGAGAATGATGAGGTAATCCTTTAGAACCTAATACCCAAGTGATGTAACTCATGCTGTGGTGTCATGCTTTAACCCTGAAATCCTGCCTTGACCAGAACAAGCTGGTGCAGCAATCTGTCACTTAAGCATGCTTGGCTTGGCTCACCTGGGGTGAGGGTTGGGCCTGACTTCCCCACAGTAGGGGGGTGGATGAATAGATTTTTGAGGATCAACGGCGTGGAGCATAATGTTGACATTACATTTTTTTACTCAGAATTTTTAGCAACATAGAACTCTTAGAATAGTAAATTAAGGAAGCAGGAAACAAGTGTGGGTACTATTACTGGAACCACCTGTTCGGTGTTTTTATATAGAAGAGAACTGATAGGGGCAACACAAAACCGCAAGCTACTCGAAGGCTTGTTTGCCTGTCTCAACGATACAATCTTGCAACTTACAACACTGGTCTGTCATCTGGTAGTTACTTAATATTTACGAAATGAATGGGTAAGGACACTTTCTGAGTGGTTGGATTGTGTTTAGCTCATTTGTATTGCTATACTGTTTGTTTTTCCATTATATGGAGTGGGACCAAAGCAAGGGGCATTTGTAAGTAAGACAGATTTTTGACTCTTGCATGAACACTGCTGGGCTAACCCCAGAGACAGGAAAGTGAGAAGTGCATGGCCGTTAGCGTGGCCATTGCCACCACCGTCATCATACATCTGAAGGGGACTGGGCTCAGAGAATGAATGGCTTCAGTAATTCCTAAATTTTATCTCTAAGTTACACCACTTCCTATCTTAGTAGTACACGTGTATCCAAATAAGTTTTTTGAATATAACCACTACAAAAAGACTCAGACTCGAATGTGCCATGGCCAGAGATTCTGTAAAATCTAATGAAATAAAACTTCAATCAGTGAGAGAGTGAGCAGCCGCATTCCAGATTCTTTCAGAATTCTTCCAGGCTTGCAGAAGTACAAGGCTTAAATTACTTTTTAAGTTAAGACTATTTTTAAAGGCTGTGTAAAAGCAGCAGGGTCCCTTGAGTAGCATTAGGTTGATATACCATCTCTCCTCTAGTACTTGAGATTATGCCTGTCATAATTGGTAGGAAATGCAATGTGAAGGCCGAGCTGTGTCGTCCCAATGTATGAAACTACAGTCTTCCGTGTATCTGAATGCTGATGGATTGTGCTAAGTGATTGGATTTAAAGTGAGCGGATAGAGGTAATCAGCATTTCAATTCCATGTGAGGATGGCCTTTTCATCCTTATGCATGTGGAAGTAAATGACAGTAATGGGATCTCTTCATCATTAATTCGTCTAAGTGCTCTTCTCTATCAGCTTCAGATCAAAAAAAGACAAAAGTTTAGTCTCTGTGGATGGGTGCTCTGTGGAATACTTTACCAGCTACAACAAAGGGCAACAGTTACTATGAAGGAGCCCCGTGTTGGCTGTCTACGAGGGTGTGGTGTGTGTGTGTGTGTGTGTGTGTGTGTGTGTGTGTGTGTGTGTGTGTACAACAGGCAGTAGACACACCCAGCCTTTAACATTTTTGTACCCTTATCTACTCTCTAAAATTCTTTGTGCCTACAGTATGGAAACACTGATGATGTCATATGTCTTGGATTAGTCTCTGAGAACTAAGGAGAATTCTTTCTTTCTGGTCTCAAGCTTTCTTTAAAAAAAAAAATCAGTGAGTATTTGCAGAGAGAAAGAAAAAACTGAACTTTAGAGTATAATTTGTGATTTCTCAATAAGAATAGGAACAAACACCACTGGCTGTTTATTTCATCTCTGAAAGGATTCTCAAGGCTCCTTAAGGTTTTTATATTAGTATGTCAGTGTACCACAAAATGAGCCTCTTCAATCTTTCTTTCCTTCTCTCCCCCCACCCTTCCTGCCTTCCTTCTTTTCCCTCCTCTCTGTCTTCCCCATCACCTGAGTTTTATCCTTCCTTCTTGATTCTGCCCCCTCCCCCGCCCCTCTTCTCCTGCTCCCCTGCCCCCTGCCAGTGCCTCCTTCCCCCCTGCTTCCCTGCCTCCCTGACCCCTGTTCCCCTGTCCTCCCATCCCCTGCTCCCTTGCTCATCCCCCTTCCTCCCTGCCCCCTGCTCCCCGTCTTCTTGTCTTCCTGCCCCTGCTCCTCAGCACCCAACACTATTCACCTCTTCCAATCCTCCACTCTCTGGCACTAGACTCTTTCTGCTCCTAAGAGATTCCTTTTGATACTTTTCTTTCTTTCTTTCTTTCTTTCTTTCTTTCTTTCTTTCTTTCTTTCTTTCTTTCTTTCTTTCTTTCTCCCTTTCTTTTCTTAAGATATTTTTCATCTGAAAATATGATGCTGTTTACCTGGAATTATTATCAGGATTAAAATGCATGATGTATTATTTTACATAATAATTCTAAAATGTGAAGTATCACAGGAGTGTAATTTTTATTACAGTACAGCCACAGACTCAGAGTTCCAGACCGAGTATATTCTCATCAGCAATCCTTAAAGAACTGAAAGATGACATGCAACAGTAGGAACTGCTTGATGATGTACCAACGTGGATGGGAAATTTCACAGGGCCTCATCCCTAGGTGAAGAGCTATAGGCAATTAATGACTACTAAGATTGAGAGAATTAGTCTGTCTCAGGGATGAGGTTCATAACTCATAATATCCAATCCTGTGTAATCTGTCCTTAAAACATACATATAAACAGCACTAAACAGAGTCAACAGGTTTCATTTATATCTTTATTCATATATACTCACATATATGCATATATGTAATAATGATAAATAAAAAGAGGTCATGAATTTGAGAGGAAACAGAGGCATGGGTGGATTGAAGAGAGGAGAGAAAACAGTAAATTATCTAATTATATTTTAATTAAAAATAAAATGTATTAATAAAAAAGTGGCACTGTATTGATAGATATACAGATGTGAAAAAATATTATTTTAAAATGTTGTCCCAACTTCCACTTCCTTTTTGTTTGGTTTTATTGATAAATTTTGTTCTTTTACAATTTAAAAAAAAAGTCAAATGGTGGATAAATCAAGCTACATGTAGGCTGAATACTCACTGGATTCACCTAAAAGAAATCATCGATGGTCTTCAGAGAACTCTATTAAGGATCCAATAAGCACAAAATCCTGTCTAGAATTATTCTTTTAAAAAGGATTGGGGGGAAATAGTTCAGCAGTGATGGGAAGGACCCTTGCACCCCACCTCTACCCTTTCTCTGGGTCTGGCAATCCCAAAGCCCAGTCTTATGCAATCCCAATGCAGATATCTCCAGTTGCTATACGTGTTTGATCAAGATGACTGTGTCTTGCAGGAAAGATGCCATTATCTTCTGGCTTTTATATACTTTCTACCTATTCTAGAAAATGTTCTCTGAGCCTTAGAAAGAATAAGATAAATGTTTTGGTTAGGGCTGATCACTCAGCTGTCACTTATTTTTGGCACTGGGTACAGCCACGAGCCTGATTTTACCATCATTCACTGGAAAGAGAGGAGTCTCTGAGTAAGGCTGAGAGACACAAGAATAAATACTTAGAATGCAGTTTGATGCTACTGATAGATTCAATGAGTGGAGGAATCATTGTCTTCAGTCATGTACCCACTCCTGACATCACCGGGCTTCAATGATAGATTTAGTTCAATGGTCACACAGATGATCCTTCTTAAACTGAATGACTCAAACAAATAAACAAACAACAAAACCCACAAAACAAAACAAAGCCATGAGTCATAAATCTGGGAAAGGGACTGGTGAAGAGGATGCTGGGGGAGGTTAATAGTAATGAGAAGGACGTGAGTGTGTCCACCCTAGACTGCAGAAAAGCAAAAGAACTGGAATAGTGTGACCTGCATTCTAGACAGTTCTGAGAGCTCAGTGGAGGCTGATGGTTTCTGATTGAAAGCAGTTGGCTGCCAGCATGAATAGAGACTGTCTGGGCTCCTTAGGGCTGAGCTTTTACCAGGTAAATGCAAAGAACCTAGAGAAAGCCAGCATCCAACTGCAGGGTATATATGTTAGGGGTGGGAGTGGTGGCATGAGTGACAGTTGACCATGGACTTTAAAGAGAAGAGAGAATCTGATGAGACACCAAAGGAGAAAACCTCACAATTCAGGTTCTAGGACCATGGGAGTCAGAGTGTACAGAGAGATGAGTGGGATCTCAGAAACGAGTACCTGTCCAGTGCGTGGAGTGACTAAAAGTAAGGTTATTGAGGCATTACAGTTAACAACATTGTAGAGACACAGAGTATGAACACAGAACCTTCCCCTGCCATCTGTGGGTCTTGCTTCCTCAGTCCTTTTAGAGTTTTGAACCCCAAAGTAGTTTTTTGGAAGACCTCCTCACTAGCCAATTTAAAACTGCGATTTCTCTCATCCTCACTCTGTTTCCTCACTCACACTTCCTTGAGGAAGGCCTGGCCACAGTGTGTATCTACTCTTTCCTTTTTATTTCTGTTGGATATCCTCCTCTGGAATTAAAGCTCTGGAAAGAGCAGGATTTGGACGTTTCTAGAACCCAAAACACCTCTAATGACTAAAAAACCACGTGGCACAGAGTGCTCTTAGTATTTTTTCATGCTCCTGCAATAAGGCAATTTTATAGTTTGAGATGGCAATCTTAAAAAAACTAGTAAGTTCTCTCACTATTACGCCATCTCATGGATAATTGGACAGCTGAGCATGAATTCACAAAGTTATTATTAATTTAACTGCTTCATGAAAGAAAGTCAGATGAATGAAAAATGTAAATCTTCTCTTCAGTCTAATTTGTAATAAATGGAATACCATTTCTTTAACAATTATAAAATGAACAATGAACTCTTCTGAGGTGAGTAGGGTCGATTTTTGTCTCTTTGCAACCATTTCCAGGTACGTCCGTTTTGTCTCTTTTTCCCTGTCCTCTCTCCTGGTACTAGAGCCTATCCTTCTACCTCAGTATCCATTCCAAGCCCACAGTTTGCTGCTTTGATATATTTTTGACTCAATCAAAAATGGTTCGTGTGGAGGAAGAGGACTGTAGACAAGAAACAAAGATAGTAGGGTCACCTCTGTAGGCGAGGTGGCACTAGTTTCGTGATTGCCACTCTCTACTTCTGGATTTAGCTGGCTGGTAGACAGGTGGAATGGCAGACTGTGGAGTCCCTGTAACCCTGGTTATGTGCTCTTCTGGTCTCATGTTACCATTTCTGTTTATGTGGCCAATTGAAGGCAGAGAAAGTTAAACACATAACACTACCAATGACATGCATAAGGAGAAGTATTTGAGTTAAAGGCATCAGATCAAAAAAGCACTTAAGACAATGTTCCATTTGAAGACAGGTTCATGAGGCAGAAGATGATGAAGCATTTACAAAAAAAAAAAAGTGTATTTGAGGTTTTAAGGATAATGCAAAGGTCTGTGATAAATTGTGAATAACTCACCTGACCTAGATTTAAGTAGCACAAGTGATTCATGCTGACATAGCCATTTGGTTACTTAACAGATGTTCCTGTAGCCTAGAGTATGGCATTTATAGTTTTTGGGTTTTACTACTGCATTGTATAAGAATCTCATTTCTACACTATACTTTTCAGAAGAAAAAAAAACATAACCACTTCAGATTAAGGAAATAAGAATTATTTTAGTGGTCGATGACATGAACTGCCAGGAGTCACAGCCCTGTGCTTTCTGCGTCTAGTTTATTCTGCTGTAAAACACTTTCTTCAAGTCTAAATCCCACAGCACATTGCAGCTCCATCAAACACTGAGGAGAAGGTCCACTTTCACCAGTAGAGGGCAGCGTTACCTAGTCAAGCGTTAAGCAGGCGCCCAGACCAGATGGGCAGATGGAGGAGAATTTAGAATTTAGAATGGGTGGCTACCTACTGCTCCTCAGTCTTGAGTCACCAGACCACAAATGCTTCTCCACAAAATAGCAATCTTAAGTAAGCATAGAAACGCTCTCCCCCACCATTACCACTGTTCCCAAAATGGTCACATTACTCATTTCTATTGGAATGGGAACAGGAATTTAAACTTCTACAATCTGTGTTGTTTTCTGAAATTTAAAGTTTGTTCTATGAATACATTCATTTATATAAAATACAGCAGCTTGTCTATACATATTTGAACATTTCAAAATTGCAGTTGAAAGTAGCAGATTTTTTTCTCCTGCAAAAATATTTAAGAAGTATTTATAAAGTTTGATTATGTTTAATATCATGCTGAGAGATGAAAACTTAATTGTACATTTTAATATATAAATAGCCAAAGTCATTGGCTGTCACAGATGATTTTTGAAATTCTAGCTGTATGATGCTTAGTCACAATAATGGATAAAGTCTCTAACATGTTCTGCTGCCATGCTGGAATACCTCTCACTACAGTGGTCCCCATGTGGGTCACAGAAGCTACCATAGAAGTGGATTCTCAAACAGAAAGATACATCTCATGGCATAAGATTGATTCACATTAAGAGACAGGAGAATTGAGCCGGGCGTTGGTGGCGCACGCCTTTAATCCCAGCACTCGGGAGGCAGAGGCAGGCGGATCTTTGTGAGTTCGAGGCCAGCCTGGGCTACC